TTTCAATTGGAAAACTGTCCAGGAAATGCAAGATGCTTCACACTAGTGTGAGTGGCCTCTAAGTGCCTGAAATTACCTCTGGTAAATACATGTAATTTAAATTTTGGACTTGTCTACTGAGACAATGGAAGAGCTGTGTAGTTGAAATGGTGGAGGTGGGTTCAATGTGGGTATTTGTCCCTGTTTTAGATTTCATGTGATCTAAGATCACATGTCTGTGAAAGATTCAACTTTATACTTGATAATGGTTACACTTCTGCCTTTTGTTAGATTAGCTAATGGCTCTCCAGATCTGAGATGTTGTTTACTGCATCAGAAGCTTCAGGTAAATATCCCAAATTTAAGAATGATTTTTCTCCTAAGGAAACTGTCAAAATGATAACAATTACTATCTAAACATGTTGTTTTGTAGATTTAGTTATGCTTGTGGCTTTTGGGTGTGGAATTAATTTCTTGAGAAAAATTTTGTTATACCAACAAGTTCAGAGGAATTGTTATCTTTTAGATTTGTAAGATCTTTTCAGTGGCTCTACAAGTTTTTCTGTATGATTGTCTCATGCAATCTCATGATAAGGGGAATCATTGCTGAAGGATTGTTTTTTTGGTCTTTCAACTTGTTAAATTAGATGCTAAATTGTTGCATTGAAAGGAAGAAAGCAAGAGATGAGGGGAAAAGGGGGAGCGCGTCTGATCGTTCACCTGGTGGTGCTTCTGGTGATAACCCTGACAAGGAAAAAGAATTTGGCAAGTCTTGGGAATCGTGGAGTGACAGTGAAGAGGAATTTTTTGAATGTCTCAGTGACACAGAAGATCTTAAAGGAAATGGACAGGAAAATGGCAAGAAAGGAGCAAAGGAGTCTGTAAACTTAAAACCAGAAGGTCGTTTGCATCCACATGGAAAACTGATGCTGCTGCATCCAGGAGAGCCTCTCTACGTTCCAATAACACAGGTGAGGGAGCAGGAGCTGAGCCAAATGTGCAATAGAATACACAGACCGTGGATCATACCTGGGACTGTGAAACTGTGAATAGTTTGTAGGTTACAGCCTTGTCTCTTGTTAAAATTGCTGAATGTTTTTGACCTAAGACTTTGTTTTTAGTCTTTAAAATTTAATAAGGCTGTTAATTTCACACACTCTTCATTTTATTTGAGACTGAGTGTCCGTACCAAATTTCACTCCAAATAATATTTTTAAACAAGAATTAAACTTCCTTGCTTACCTTAAACTTGGGGTTCTTTTTATTTCCTGTTCTTGAGGCATCTTTCATCCCCTCCTTACTTTCTTTTCTATAAAATATGAACTGCTGTGGTTCTTGCACCACAGGGATTTCTGCCTGATTTTGCACAGTACTGGATCAGTTTTGGTGCTGTACTTGTTTTTTTAATAATTTCTCAGCTCACATCTAAAAGGCCATAGTAACTTGGTTTGGTGCTATTCTCTAAAGCAGGTTTATCATCAAACAACTAGAAATGTTACCTGACATCAACAGGCTTTCCTGTAGAGTGACCAGGGATGAAATAGGAAGTGGTGCTGTTACAGAAAGTAGTTTGAAATCAATCATGCATGAAGAATGCAGTGATTTTCATTCTCCTGAGAGAAATTATTTCTAATTAATGTTGCTTTGCTTGGGTAAAATGTATGAGCAGAGAGTAGTCAGACAAAATGTTCTCAATTAATTATGTGCTGACAGTATCAACAGCAAAAATTCTGCATTGCTTTGGGTAGATTTTCATGCATCTCAGCAAAATTGTACCAGTCAAACACTTCCCGGATTTCATTTGGATTTTGGCATTTGAGCAATATATCTTTATATTGTTACCTCATTCACAGGTTATTATTTCTGTTTAGTTTCTTTGTTAGTGTCCTCTACAGTTGCACAACTTGAGGCTGAACTCTTTAAGCAGTAGAAAGTTATGATAATTTCCTTTGAGTACAAATGAAGCAGAATGAACTTGTGGTGGGAGGGAGCTTCCTGCTTCTCCTCCCTTGCTCTGGGCTGAGTCCAGGAGAGGTTGTTTGTAACCCTGTGTGTTTCCCTGTCCCAGGAGCCGGCCCCCATGACTGAAGACCTGCTGGAGGAACAGTCAGAGGTGCTGGCAAAGCTGGGGACATCTGCAGAGGGTGCTCACCTGCGGGCACGCATGCAGAGCGCCTGCTTGCTCTCAGATATGGAGTCCTTCAAGGTAGCACTGCTTGCATGGTTCCATGAAATTCAATTGCTTTCTTCTTAATTAAACTGTCCCTCTTCTGTTCCACAGCTCTGTAGGTTTCTTAAGTTCTTTTCCTCCACAAAACAGTTTCCAATTAGTTTCATGTTGAAAATAAAAACCTATTGGGAAAACTCTTGGCACATTTAAAAATCTGTGAGGATGTTACACTGTAACATCCCAGTAAATTTACACCACATCTGTGGGAAGGGAACACATCAAACATACAATTGATCAATTGTGAATTAAAACAGTCATTCATCAGGTTGGGACTGGACTGTAGTTTTGGATTTCCTTTCTTGTCTGAGCTCTGCAGAGGGAGCTAAGAGCACATCCACTGCTGTCATCATAGAAGCTCAACGCTAAAAAGATCGGAGATTCTGTAATGAAATAGCCATAAATATCTTTTTAATTATTGCAGTGTTTATGGTAAAAGGATATAATGTGCATATACAGTTAGAGTATTTATAATGTAACTAATCAGTTTATTAACAGTGACTCATGCCATATTAGATATATGTAGAAGTTTTATTTATATGGTGCAAGTAATCTAAAGTCTCAAAATAAAAGCAGAGAACTGTAACTGGAAGAACAAGTACACTCTTCATAGGTATATGAAATAGAAAACTGGGATTCCTTTTATGTTCTGGACCCATGGATGTATTTAATTGTAGTAATACTGCATCTATGAAAAATGAAGTTATTTCTGTTTGGGGAAGATTTTTTTAAAGTTCCTTTTAAAAGAGGAAGAAATGGTGAATTTTGTCACTGGTGTGTTAAAAGATGGAAAGTCAGTGCTGAAAACATACTTAGGCAGCCCACTGATTCTTTTAGTCTTTAATGGGATAAGCTTAGTGAAAATTCCTATTTATTGCATGTGGCAGGTGCCAGGTAGAATCTTAACAGTATGAACTTGAGCTTGCCTGAAATAACTGATGAATGTAATGAATGTACATAAAGTGGGTGATGAGAAGGTGATTTTTTTTGTTGTCGTTGTTGCTGCTGATGTGGGTTTTACTCCTTGCCATTGTCTTGGTTTATGCTTTATTCCCTCTTTCTTACTGTACACTTTGTTGGCTGTGGACAGAAGAATTTCCTGAATTTTGTCTCTTACTCTGTTCTACCCACTAAACCACACTGCCCTCCTACCCAGGCTGTCATGTTTTTATAGGATTTTTTAGGAATAAATTTTCTGTTTTCTTCTCCCTGCAGGCAGCTAATCCTGGCTGTTGTCTGGAGGATTTTGTGAGGTGGTACTCGCCTCGGGACTACATCGAGGAGGAAGTGGTTGATGAGAAGGGGAATAAAGTCATTAGGGGCGAGCTGAGCGCTCGGATGAAGATTCCCAGCAACATGTGGGTGGAGGCCTGGGAAACAGCAAAGCCTGTCCCAGCACGGAGGCAGAAGAGGCTTTTTGATGACACCAGGGAGGCTGAGAAGGTGAAAGTTCTGGAGCTGGTGCCAGTCTAGCTGTGATGCTCCCTGCAGCCCCTCCTTCCTCCCCCTGCAATATTTTGACACTGGCAGCTCCTTGTACTGTGTCCTTGGGGTTACTGAACTGTTTCCTGTGTGGCTTAGGGTTGACTGAAAATTCCTGCTGCTGTACAGGAGAGTGTTGGAAGTACCCAATGTTACTTAGGTACCTCTTTGAAATATTAGAAAATAAACCAGATTTTTACCTGCATATGTGTTAGGAACACTTTAGTTTCCTAATACAGTTTTAGTTTAATTCTAACCTGTTGGGAGGATTCATGTAAAACTGCCTCTCAAGTCCTGTCTTACAGTGGTGTTCCATTCTTGTGAATTCATCTTTCCTAGATAACCTAATTTTTGGGAAGTAGTTTTGATCACTAAAATATTAAATTTTTTAATGTTGCAGGTGCTTCATTACCTTGCAGTTCAAAAACCAGCTGACCTGGCGAGGCATCTTCTGCCTTGCATCATCCATGCAGCTGTACTCAAGGTAAAGGAGGAAGGTAAATAATGTTTAATAAATTGTTAAGATATTTAAGGGGGAACAGTGATGAAGTCAGTCATTACAACTTTTGTTTCTTTCCTTATAATAGAAGCACTAGAAGATATATCTTCAGTTAAGAAGATTATTAAGCAGATAATATCCCATTCCAGCAAAGTGCTACGTTTTCCCAGTCCAGAGGACAAGAAGTTGGAAGTAAGGCTTTTGTAGTGGCTGGGGCTAAAAACCTGATAGACTTTTGCACTGTTCATGTCAATGTTAAAATAACATTTTTTTAATGTACTCTTTTATTAAACTCTTGCAGGAAATAATTGCTCAGATTATGAGTGTGGAAGCCATCATTGCCAGGGCAAGGTCTCTCAAAGCAAAATTTGGAGTAGAGAAATGTGAAAATGAAGAGGAGAAAGAAGATCTACAAAGGTAACTTGTTTTTTTGAATTATTTTTCACTGTGTTGTTTTGTTTTTCCTCTGATGCCCTTGTTTGTACTTTGAGAACTTAAGACAGTGGTGACAATAAAGAAATACTTAGGAATCCTATTTGGGTATCCCTGTCACTAGACTGTCTAGAGATGATGTGTGTGGGTGCTCCTCCAATTAAGCATCTCTTTAGAGACATTTGATCCAGGGGTTTTTTAATAGAATTTGGTTTTATCTTGACAGTACTGGGGGCTAACTTTTTTTTTTTTGTGTATATAAAAGGTATATTTGATGAACTGTTACCAGAACAGTAGAATTAGGACTAGAAATTTAGTATTTTTTATAAATATTATGGAATTAAATAGTCCCTTCCACAGTTTTCTTATTCTTGTCTTCTTGCTGATGTGAAACATCACTGAGCAGCTCTGAATGGAAGGTGACAAGGAATGTTCCCTTGCATCATTACCTGCTGTCAGATTATTTACTTGCTGCTCAAGATGACTAATGTGTTATACAACCCAAGTTAACTTCTTGCTGCTGTGCTGGGAGGGAGAGATGACATTTGTGCAGTACATGTTGGGAGCTCAGAGATGTGATGTCTGACCAAAGCAATGTCTGTGTGCTAAAGAAAATTGTCAGTGTGGATACTTCTGCATGGCCAACACCATGGAGAGGCTTTCCTGTTGATTTTATACAGCTGCTTTAGGAGCCTGAGTTTCATTCTTAGGTAACAGAGAATTTTTTCCTTAAGCTTTTAGAATAGAGAACCAAGAGAATCTGCCAATTCTCACCCTGAGCAAATGATGCTTGGTGAAGGCCTTGGCACAGGAAACAGCTCATTTAGTTCAGCACACTGGATCTGGCCAAAGATTAACCATTCCTTTTTCCTTTTCAATCATTTGTTCCATCAGATTTGTAAACAGTCTCCTGGAGCAGCCAGAGGTGTCAGTTGTGGGTGCAGGAAGAGGACCTGCTGGCAGCATCATTCACAAGCTGTTTGTGAATGCTCAGAGGGTAAGAGAGAGCTCTGGGTCGTGCTGCAGACGCTTCTGATTTAACCAGAATGAGGCAATGAGTTACCATACGGCACCAGTGTATTTTGTCTGCATATCTGCATGTATTGTCATAAATGTGCTTGAGGTGTTTTCTGTGATGTTCAACATGATTTTGGCAGTAACAGAACCTTGCAAGACCAAAGAGTGAGTGAGCTGGGATGTTAAACAGTTGAAGCCAGCTGGGTAGACAGAGGTGTCAGTAATGCTTTATGTACTGTGAATGGTAACATCAGTAATGCTGTTAAGGCAAGACAAAATTCTGCCTTATCACAGCAATGTCAAGTGTTGATTGTTTCACAGAGGAATGTAGAGAAACAGGTCATAATATAGTTTAGAAGGAGTAACTTCCTAAACTAAGGCTTATGCTTGGAATACTTGAGATTTCTTCTGTGGAAACCAGCATGCTTAGCAAGTTTCAGTTCTCTTTCAGTTTCTGCATTCAGTTTACCTCTTGCTAGTGTTGCATCTGTTTTCTGGAGACCTTTCCCTTGCTGATAGTGATATAAATGTTGCCTTTTTCTCTTAAGCAGTCTTTGGAATAATTAGCCTGAAAGTACTGATTTCCAAACCTCATGGACTGCAGTCAGCCTTCAGTTTCTATCAGAATTACACCTGTTCATAGCATCAGATTTTCTAAATCAAATTTAACTTCAGTAGTAATAACAAGGTAGCAGCCTGAAATCCCATTTGGAAATAATTGCTGTGATTGGGTGTTAAACACTTAAAGGGATCATTGCTTTTGTAATAATCTGTATTTTGCAACTTAGCATAAAAAAGGACCATTCTGAAAACAGACCATGGTTATTCTGAGGAATGAAAACCAGGACACTTCTTTTATTCTTCTAGTCTCCAGGGAAAAAGTGTTTGAAAATCTGAACCTCCCAACCAGCCACCTTTACAGACTCTCCTGTAAAGCCCAATACTGTGCCCTGTCAGTGATGCACACATATGCACTTGCCTCTTTAAGAGAGGCAGTGTGTTTCCAAATCTCAGTTCTACCCTTAGAGGGTGTGTGCAAATTTCTAGGGTTTTGTTTTGAAACACTGCTAACTAAAGCAGGGTTACAGGTATTTCCCACTAGTAGCTGGTCAGTGTTAATTAAGGTTTCCTAGTGGGACAGGAACCAACTTGCTACAAACTCCAGTTAGTGTTTAACCTGCCATGAGTTATTTCAGTGGAGAGCTGTTTGCTAAATAGAAGTGAAATGAGTTCTTTGTTCATTACCTCTTGAACCTGGAGTCCTCTCTGAGCTGTGTCTAATGTGTTCTGTTCTTGAGTTTTCTCAGGAAAATTCTGATAGCCATTGCATGTTCTTGGAGTGCATGATGTCTCTTAAACCTGCAGTCTCCTCCTAACCTCTTGTAAGTCACCTCTGACTTGCCTTTGTTTCTGTCTTTCATCACTGGTTCTTTTCTCATCCCTTTCCAAGCTGACTGAATCTTCTGATGAGGTAACCGACTTTGTCCCTCCTTTCCCTCTCATCTTTTCTGCATAGAGCTGAACCTTCTGGTAGATGTGCAGCAGAGCCAGATTTAGTTTGTACTGGTATTCACATGTTGAGTGTAGAAGTAAGTTTGTGTTTCCAGAATGGTTTTTCTGCATTCAGTTTATTTTTAGAGCCTAATAATGTATAGTGAAAAGAAAGAGAAATGTTTAACAAAAAAACACACCAAAAAAACTCCTCTCAAAATGAAAAAAACCAACCAAACAAAAAACACTTACTCAAGTGAGTATTGATGATTTCTGATGCTGAAATATGTGGCTATGCTTTTATATTCTTGCCATCACTGATTGTTGATGTTTTGGGGGGAGGTGGTGATGAACTGGATCTTGCATTCCCAACACTTAGTACTTCCTGAAGCTGTGGAACTTTTTGGACACAGATTTGAAAGAAGCAGGGTAACTGTGTAAAGGGTAGCACTGGGAAGATCGTCTCTGTTGGTTTCCTCCAGCTGTTCTCGTGGGGACACATGGCACTTGTCCCCGGTGGGTTCTGTGGCATAGCCTGCAGGGCCGGGTCCCCCTTGCTGCTGGGGGAGGGCTGGAGCAGAGGGGCAGCAGCAAGGGACCACGAGGGGCAGCCAGTGGCTTCTGCCACAGCTCAGTGATGGTGCCAGTGTGGAGTTGTACATGCTTGAATTAGGAAGGACCCTATTAGGGTATTGGTGGGGGTGTGTGTATCCGTAGGTATATGTAATTAGGGAATGTTTGTTGGGTATGCCTGCCCTTCTTCCAGTATCCAGGCATTAGTGTTGCTGCTGCCTGGTTCTGAGGCAATGAGCAGCTGTTGGGATTGTGCAGGGTCTCACTCGCTCTGCAATGAGTTCAGCAAGGCTCTCTGGCCATGAAAAGCCCATCCTGCAGTAGTGTTGGAATCTGAAAGGCAGCTGACTGTCAGGACTGCAGTAGCAGCACTGATGATTTTGAAGCGGAGGCTGCCTTGGCCTCCTGTAGCTGCAGAGCGCTGAGAAAAGCACCCTGTCTGAGAAGGGACCATGTCCTCCAGGCACAACCCTTGCTTCACACTGCCAGACATCGGAGCTTCAGCTAGGCAGAGCTTCACCATCCACACGAGGGTTCTTCCATCTGGTTGAGTTTGCTTTATTTCCTAGCATCCCATTAGTGCTTTGCTCTGTATACACATAAAGCCTCTTGATGTGTCCTCCTCCTCCTAGTCCTCCTCTGTGAAGAGTTTTCTGAGTGCCAGTGTTAGGGAGCAGCCTGCCCTGTCACTGTCGCTGTGCTCTGTCGCAGGTGCCGGCCGTGCCGCCGCTGGAGGAGGAGCTGCGGCGCTCGGGCTCGCAGGAGGAGCGCAGGCAGGGGCTGCAGTCCGAGTTCCCCCCGCCCACGGGCCGGGAGGTGATCCTGCGCACCTCGGTGCCCCGGCCCGCCCCCTACTCCAAGGCGCTGCCGCAGCGCATGTACAGCGTGCTGACCCGCGAGGATTTCCGGCTGGCAGGGGCCTTCTCTGCGGACACCACCTTCTTCTGACACGGCCCGTGCGCCGGGGACTCGCTGCTGCGGGCAGGGAGCGCTGCACGGGGACTGGCGTGCGCTGCAGCCGGAGCGCCGCTTCCCAAGGACCGGCATCGGCCGCTGTGACAGGCGGCTGGAGCAACTCATCTCCGAGGTTTGGAATGGCTTCAGGAGGGGCTTCAAACTCTCTGCCCAAAAGGAGCGTATTTTCCTTTCCTTGCATTAGCTTAATTACGGACCTGAAGGGGCTGTGTGCAAATATGTTGAAATTCATGCAGAACGTGCTGCTTTACACTTCAGGATCGGACTTTATCAAGTGACATTAGTCTGCTTAAATTGATATATATAAACGTTAAGTAATTTATATTTATTACTAATCATAATCACAGAGCCCCATATTTTTTGGTTAATCACTGTTGCAAGTGCTTCTGAATTATCCTTATTTTTATTTAAAGTGTACAGTTTATTCTCTAGTTTGTGCTGAAGTCTCCTGTTTGTCCAGATCTCATCGCTTCTCCCAGAGAGAACTAAGTGGACAGTGAGTCTGACAGGCAGCCTGCAGTGGATCACTGAGGGGTTGGGATATTTTATATCCTTCCCTGTGTGCAAGGGCCAAAGCTGGATGGAATGACACCCCAGAGGTGTTTCACTGTGAGCAACTCACTGGTGTTCACCGAGGCTCTTACTTGCACTCCCTGTCATCGATGGGAGAGGAGGGGACAGCTCTGTCACCTCTGGCCCCCTCAACCCACATGTGCCAATGTTGCATTACAGTGACCTTCATCTGTTTGAATGAGAATCAGCAGAAGATCAGAGTTACTTTACAAATGTACGAACAGCTACAGTATTGTGGACATTACTCAATAAATATGAACATACAGTTGGCTCTCAGTATTGCCATGCTTTTCCATGCTCTCCTTGCACGCTCTGCTCCAGGAAGGACATTGTGACTACACTGAGTACAGAGAGTTGAGTTCTGCTGTTAGTAGCAGGATCCCAGGTGTTACCCTAAAACTTCTTTGAGAGGACAGGGATCAGAGTCTTTTTCCTCACATTAAGTTCTATGAAGTCAACATACATTTTTTAGGGAAGAAGAGTTAAAGAAGGTAAAAAATCAAGTCATGGACCCTGTTGTCCAGGCTGTTTGTGTATCTCCTCAGACATCAGGGTAAGTACGATAAAGACCTGTAGCTGCTGTTTGTCTCTGTGGCTTCATTAAAATTAATTACTCCAGGAAATTCCTGATTTACTGATAAGTATAATTTAGGTTAAGCTTCTTCCCCAATACTCTTGATTTCCTACTTTTTAATGAAATATTACACTGCAGTGTGGCCTCTTGTAAAGGCTGTAGAAACTTGAAAGTCTCTCATACTTCATTATCAGGCTATTCCTACCTGGTCATTTATACTGTTGGAGGTGATTCCTTTATCATACTCAGACACCACAAACATCATTAACACAGCCTGTTTGACTAGCAAATGGTGCACTCCTGCAACAACTTTGTCTTAAGCAGTATTTTTCTTGTTCAAGAGTTGTAACTTTAAGGATTTTTCTCAGAAGGGTAACTCAGCTTAGTTTAAGTAGCTGTAGTTGAAATTGCAGCCCTGCACTGTTTGATAATATGTTGTGCACAGCTCTGCTTCACGAGCTTATTCTCAGTATTCAAGGGGTGAGGAGAAACAGAGCATTAAAAAAAATCACCAGGAGAAAGAACTGTATTTATTTTAAGTATCTGTAAAGCAAGCCAGGTAAGCAGTCCAAAATTACCAGGATCTCTGCAATCTCATTAAGGAGAATTTAACTGTAGCATTTCCCAGAAACAACCTTTGATGAGATAATTGCTAATATTATTAGTTTCCTATCCTGAGTAACATTTCAATACAAGCTGGTTTAAGTAAAACCAGAATTCAACTGACATCAGTTTGAAATGCCAAAGTCCTGTAAGTCAGGCCCATGCCAAAAATCAGCCTTCTGTGGGTGAGCAGTACTAGAGGATTCAAAGCACTTGTGCTAGTTTTTGTTACAATCACTACATTTTATTCTGTGGTTTTGGTATGTGAACAACAAAAAGAATTAAGACAGCTTCTAGGTCCATTAAGTTCCCACTACAATTGAACCCTGTAATACCACCAGCAACTTCAACAGAACTTCCTTAAATACTTACAGCCCTAACTACCCTGCAAGAGGAAACCATAATACTTTAAAATGGCATTCAAGTTACATACAAAAATTCAGCTTGAAACCAGGGCAATAAAAAACCATGATGATCAAGTATTTTGGATGTTACATATGATTTCTTTGGTTTCATTCCTTATTTACTGCTCTCTACCAACTGCATGATACAGCAATTTCTGTTAAATCAGTGCAAGAGGAAAACACTAACTATATTGGTTTTACAGTTACTATGTACCTGAATGTATTGTATATTTTACTTCTTCACCAAAAATTTTGTGATATCACAGCCATACTTTGTAGCTAAAGACCTTCTCTTCAACTGGCTTCTTTCCTTGGCCTGTTTTGCAGTTCTCTGCAAAAGAGAGAGACAGGTTGGTTCAGTGAGTATTGATGACACTTGGCAACACGCCCAGTAGAAAGAATTTAAACTCCAGTCTACCCCTGCAGGAGACAGCATGAGGAAATGCAAATGTTTATTAAGGTAACAGGTTTATTAAGGTTTATTAAGGTTTTACTAATTCCAGAGGAAACCATCATATTGTAATAGTTTAATGCTGCCTTTCCACCTTGGCTGTATGGGAAGGAGAGGTTGTGAGCACTGAGGTTCTGCAGCAGGAGAGAGCAGGGCTGATGAGGAGCCTAAGTGCAGTTTCCCCCACCCCATTCGCTGTGAGAGGGCCAGGATTCCTGGCTCCACACACTGACCTCCCTGTGGCAGGCTGTGCACAGGGTCTGAAGGTTCTCCAGGGAGCACTGTCCTCCTCCGCTGTACACGGGCTGGATGTGGTCCACCTGCCAGAACTGCCCCTCCGCTGGGCTCCTGATCATCTCATTCAGCTGCAGCACACAGGGGACATGGCAGGGGTGAGAAACTCCTCAACTACATGGACGTCCTACTAGCAACAAGGAAATTCTGGGAAGTAGCTAGCTATAGTTTTCATCAAGATAAAGAAATCCAGCCTTGACACTCTCACTGGACAAGCAACAACTGTAAGTAGCTGGCACATTTTCACCCCGCCCTGGCTGTACATGCACCTCCCCTACAGAATCAGAGCCCTGATGCCTGTGCCTTTTAGAGGTCTTACAAGACACTGGAATTTAGTTAATTTGATTGTTTTTAAGGACTTGTTTTTTTCTTCTGTTGTTGGTGCTAGGTTACCTTTCTATCTTAAATCTGCAAGAACATTTTTGGCTGTCTCTAACTCTGTACACAGACCAGGTATTACTGCTGAAACCCCAGAACCATCACCTGCCCAAGGGGAAGGTGAGACATCCAAGAGCTCTCCAGAAGCTGCTTCCTCTGGTTCCTGGGTGCATCCCTGACGCTGAGATAAAGCTCCTGGGCGTTGTGCTGGCAGCACTGGCACACGCCATGCTCGATCTGGAACACCTTGGAGCGGAGGTAGCTCTGGCTGGAGCGGATGGAGAAGTCCTCCTGGCAGGCGTGGCAGCAGAAGCGCGTGTCCCAGGCACGGGCTGGGCAGCCGGGCGGGGGCTGAGCTGTGGGCTGCTGGCAGCTGAGACATAGCGGGGTCCCCTGGCTGTCCAGGGCCTGCAGATACCCTTTGGACAGGGAGGAGCCTTCGGCATCAGTCTGCCCTGGGGGAAGGGCTGAGGGATCATTTCCAGTTTCTGAAAGCAATCTGATGGCAGAGAACAGAGTACAGCTCTGGATAAATGATGTATGCAGCAGCCAGTTGATGGGGGTTTTATGCACTGTGTATTTCAATCAGATAGATTTTATGTTCTGAAAAATCATTTGAGCTGAAATAATACCTTACTCAGATTGATACTGCACAGTGCAAATCCTTTACTTGGTTTACATTTCCATTTGAACTGAATTTGCCAATATAGCAAGGCAGATTTTTCTTCTGCACATCTTACTACACTCAATTATTAGCTGAAATAATGTTCTATTTATAAAGACATTTCTATCAGGCATGTACACATAGAAAAGTAAAATGCTTTAGCCCCCTCTTTAACAGAAGTATTAAACTCAAAGGAAAGATCCTGATTTCTCTACAGTCTTCATAGCTGCCTATCGGTTTTCAATGTAAAAGAAGTAGGATATACAATGCTTGTGTAAGAAAAATTTTCAAAAGGGGAATTCCCATTTGGAATTTTCACTTCTTTGCTCCTTTTTTTTTTTTAATTCTGAGGCAAAATAGAAACAAATTCTGCATCCCCAGTTTGATGTTGACCTCACAGGAGGGCTGAGCTAACATTCTTTTCTCTAATTGAATCTATTCTCTTGTTTTGTTTTAGTCAGACTCATTTAATTAGCAGCTCTGTCAGCAGACAACAGATAAAATCTAAATTGTTAGAAGAATAAAACAGAGGTAATTAGCACTACAGCAAGTTTCTTATCTAACTGCTGTACTTCAGCAAAGCATATAATAATAGCAAATAATTTTACTACCATTAAAAAAAATGTGGCAAAAGAACTTAATTATCCTAATGCATTAATAAACCTACTTTGTGGATGGTTCAGGAGAAGCAGCTTTGTCCAGAGAAGCCCCCATTTCTTTGGAGATGAGGCGAACACTTCCCCCGCTGCTGCTGGCCTTGGAGAGCGAGGCTGCTGCCACATCCTCCCTGGTCACATACCTGAGAGAGTGACAAATCGTGTCAGCAAAGGGAGCAGTCTCCCTCAGACAACATCACTCTGGACTGCAGCAAGATTGGTACAGCACATTCTCTTCAAACATTCCTCATTTTCTGGATGAGAAATGAAGAAAGTTTGGGAAAACATGCTTCATATACTTCCATATTAAATATGTTTTTCTAAAAGTGAATTCTAACTGGTGCACTGGTACCTTGGTTCGTGTATAGCAATTAAAAAATGACTGCAGTTTGATGCTGCCTGACAGTGAAACATGAAAGGCATTTTGTTTCAGTTAGGTGAAGTCTCAGTGACACTGGATAATCCAGGAAGCTTTACAAACTCTGGAGGACTCCTTGCTGCGTTTGTTAGGTTTGCTCTCCCCACTTCATTTTCATGTGAAACCTGGTAAAACACAACTGCTCTTAGTTAAAAACTTAAAATTGCTTCACAGAAACCACTATTCAGACAACTTCTTCTGAGGACATCTCTGTACTGAACATCTGCCAAACCCTACAGCCCCACCTTACAAGGCTGGTGGGTTTTTTAACACCATTCACAGATTTTTCCTACACTTTATGGAAGGACACAATCAGGCAAGAGGTTAACAAACACTTACTTACTTAATTCTTACCTACAGCCAAAATAGAGTCACCCTGAGGAATTTAACAATAGGGAGTGAGGGGAATAAGAAGGTTTTAGATGGTTTGCATGACATGTTCTGTGCAGAGCAATAACAACACTGAGGCTACAAATGTCTGTCAAGGAAGACCACATCAGAAAAAGGAAAAATACGCAATGAAAGGTTCATTTAGATTTTAACAAGGATCAAAAACCAGCCCTTTTCAGTGACACTCGAAAAAGAAAGCCACAGTTTTGAGAAATGTCATCCACAGAGAACAGAAATGCTTAAAGGAAAAACAAGAACTGGAAAGAGTTATTAGAGTTGGCTGTGAATTTTGAATAAAATATCTCATTGATGGCAAATAATGATTTATTTCTGCTTCTAGGTGGGGAAAACTACAAGATGCTTTGACCTTACTTTTCTGTTGTGGCCCTGCAGTCAGGGTTTTTCCTTTAAAAACACCTGGCCAGTTCCAGATGTTGAACTGGCACT